CAATCAGCACGCCGTATTTGCGAATTTTTGCAACGGTCAGTTTCAATCTGACCACTGCAAAAATTTCCAAATACAGCGCTATGATTGGTTTGCTACGGTTAGACGAAGCAAGCCAATCACAATGAAGCAAATGCTACGACTTCAGAACGATGTGATATAGTACTAGTGCAAAACCCGCAAATACAGGCAGTATTTCAGGCGGAAATTTGAGAAAAACCCGAATTTAATTATCCAAAATGAAATAAAAACTCGATAAAATTGTATCAATATGATTTAGTAAATTTAAAAAAAATTGCACCAAGTTTCAATGAAAAATTGAAAATAACGGCAATTAAAAATAGTATAACGTTTTAGTTTTTAATAACTTTAAAAAAGGTACAACCTGGAAAAATATATCTCAGGGAAAATCTGACCGTAGCATATGCTACGGTTGCAACGGTCTGAATCCGCCCCTGGTTATTTAAAACTGCTGAAGTCTATCCTAAACGATTTCTGAAATATCGCAAACTACAAACGGAACAAACCTTGCATGTAAACAATGCTACTCCGGCTGTTATTAAATAAGCGCTGTGAAATTTCCAAATTCCAACTTGCCACCGACTTCGCTGAAACTTGATGCTCAAGAAATATGTAGAAGTATACCTCTCTGTTATCAAACCTACGGTAAAATAATCCGACAAAAGCCTACTGAAAGATAAGTCAAAGCATGAATGTTACAAAATACTGTATGTGTCACATTTGTAACTTATATGTTTGCCATTAGAAAATACAAATCACATCATGATAAATTTGACACTAGATTCACTACTTCCTGGTATGTATACATCATGGTATGTATTTAAGTGAAATCTCTCAAATGCTTTCTTTTATTTTTCCCTAGTAAATTAACAGACATTGCATTAAATTAACACTGTCCAAGTGGAAATTTCTCGCTTATTACTGTAAGAACATGGATCAACAAATTAGTGAAGCCCTGAATGTCAGAATTTAGCTATTTATGACAGGCTTGACAGCACTATTTCCTATTGAAGAATTACAATATTTATCTGTCTATAAGATTACAACGTCCAAATATTTGAGCTATATGGGGCTTGAAGTTGAACTGTTTCATCCACACTTGGTTATAATATTTATAAACCGATCTGCCGATATCAAAAACCCGGCCTTAACGCTCTCTAAGCTATGCATATTTGGGCATAGTTTGGGAAAGCCTCAGAAGAAAAAAAAACACGCATTCCAAAGGGAGAAAGGTAAATATATGGAAATATTTTGCTTGGAACCCACGACTTCTTATTCGGGACCCACGATTTTTTACCCACGACCCACGCCTTTTTACCCACGACCCACGCCTTTTTACCCACGACCCACGCCTTTTTACCCACGACCCACGCCTTTTTACCCACGACCCACGCCTTTTTACCCACGACCCACTCCTTTTTACCCACGACCCACGCCTTTTTACCCACGACCCACGCCTTTTTACCCACGACTTACGACTTTTTACCCACGACCCACGACTTTTTACCCACGACCCACGACATTCTACCCACGACCCACGACATTCTACCCACGACCCACGACCCACGACTGTTAGCTAGTCCCGTATATAAAAGGTCAAGTACGATGTATACAAACACTAAACAGCACAAGTCGAAGCGCCTTCGCTCGAAACGTCGAAGTTCTCCTTGTATTTTTCAGGTAGTTGTATCCCTATCAATCCGCAGCTTTCGCACATATTTCCTCCAGAATTTCTAGTTGTTTTCAATCGATTTCAGTGTAAAAAGTATCAAATTTTCGACGAGAAATTCCAAATACTTTGTTTATATAGAACTCACGTTGGAAATCCAACGTACTATCTGCCGTTAGCCAATCACAGGCCTGAATCAATTCGATTTCTCCAGAGCTATGCCCACCCTTAACCTGCGAACGGGCATGCGCGGGGAACGAGATTGTAAACAGACAGGTGATGATGTATTGAGACGTATTGATGTAATGCATTGCGAGCATAGAAATTGCGAGCTAAAGTCGGTTATCTACGATTAGTTCCGCTGTTGACTGTTGTCCATAAATGGTTTTGCGGCCAATGTTAACACGAGTACAATAAAATAGTTTTGTCAATAATACGAGTACAACACGAAGAATGCCGTATAACTGCGCGAGAGGATGACGACTTTGTGTATATTCATATCTTCGGTTCAGTGGCAGTGCACAATAGTTTTAGTCACTGATAAACATTGTAGCGACGAGGATGGCTAAATGGCGTGGGTGGGTGGGTCGTGGGTCGTGCGTCGTGGGTCGTGCGTCGTGGGTCGTGCGTCGTGGGTCGTGCGTCGTGGGTACGGTGTTGGGCGTCGTATAGCCAATGAAAATATTTTTTAAGACGGATAGAGGGCAGACGGACAGAAGGATGGATGAGAGGGTGAAAAACGGACGGACAGAAGGGTAAAATGCGGACGGATGAGAGGGTAAAATGCGAACGGACGGCGGGAGGGTAAAATGCGAATATGAAGGCATATAGAGTGGTATATTTGTATTTTTCATGTAGACTAAAATCCCAACCTTTGCAACTTTCATGCTTATTTTTCTTTGTTATCCGGTGTGTAGTAATTTAATTTTATGCCACTATAATGTGCTGTTTTTCAAGGGCATTTTAATGCAGTTATCGGTCCTAAAAGTAACATTCCCGTTGAGATATGACAATTTCAGTACGGCCTACTTTTACGCAAACGCGAATTACAATGGCAACATTCATGCTTAATTTTCTCTGTTATCTGTGCATGTAGTAATCCTATTTTATGTTACTATAATGTGCTGTTTTTCCAGGGCTTTTCAATGCTGTTATCGGTTTAAATATACCTAAAATGCCCGTTGAGATATGACAATTTCAGTACGGTCTACTTTTACGCAAACGCGAATTACAATGGCAACATTCATGCTTAATTTCCTCTGTTATCTGTGCATGTAGTAATCCTATTTTATGCTAGTATAATGTGCTGTTTTTCCAGGGCTTTTCAATGCAGTTATCCGTTTAAATATACCTAAAATGCCCGTTGAGATATGACAATTTCAGTACGGCCTACTTTACGCAAACGCGAATTACAATGGCAACATTTATGCTTAATTTTCTCTGGTATCTGTGCATGTAGTAATCCAATTTTATGCTACTATAATGTGCTGTTTTTCCAGGGCTTTTCAATGCAGTTATCCGTTTAAATACCTAAAGTTTTGACGAGCTAGTATACCCATGGGCGGTACGGAAGGAAAAAATTAGGGGAGCGGAAAGAAATTTGCCCGACTTTTTCGGATTGTGCCCGACTAATGCCGAAAATTTTTTTCCGGAACAATTAATTTTGGCGACCTCCCCCACAACCCCCTCCCCCCCCCGTCGCCAAAAAAATTTCGGTCAGTGTACCATTTTAGGGGTCCAAAAATTTTTCGGACATACCAAAATTTTTCAGAACATCAAACAAATTTTCCAAACAGCACAAAATTTACAGAATTTTTCACAAAATTGCCCAACTGGCCTTGTTTGCCCAACAAACAGGCCGCCCCCCCCCCCCGCCCGGTGCGCCCATGATTATATTACATCAACCACGGGTTTCGAATTGATTTTTTCAAGCACATGCAACAGTGGAAGTTTTTATAGTTTTTCAATATTAAATATTTTATACTTATTAACTAAAGTTATTATTAAGAGAGATTTGCTTTGACTACTTTTTTGGCTTTTTAATTTCCCACTTTTCGCCCGACTTATGTTGAACATTTGCCCGACTTCTCGACTTTGTAATCTTTGGGGGGGGCAGCTGCCCCCCACCCCTGCCCCCCGTCCCGTACGCCTATGAGTATACCACCCAGATAACAGATAAAATTAAGCATGGAAGTTGCAATTGTAATTCACGTTTGCGTAAAAGTAGACTGTACGGTTTTCAAAAAAATGGAAACCATTTAGATCGGTATTTTAATAAATTGTCAAAATAATTGAGTATACTAAAACAAATAATTTTATGAAATAAAAATTGGGGGTAGGCTGTTGCGGTATTTGAAAAAAAACGAAAACCGATACCGGAAAAAAATACCGATAATACTGATATATCGATATTTTTCGCGATTGTATTTTGCTTAATTTTATGCAAAATTTGCTTAATTTTATGCAAAATTTGCTGTTTTCAAATGATGCCAAACAGCCACGATATAACAGCTTTGACTCATCAGATGCGTGATATTTTCAATAAAATGTCAATGAAAAGTGAAAATGCATATTAGGCCCGGTTTAGACGGCGAACTTCTGGGTACATCCTCGGGTAGAAGAATTTGCATCACAGATACGTCATCAGTTAGTTATAGCGATTAGTTTTGAGGTTAGGGTAAGGGTTAGGGTTAGGGTGAGGGTTAGGGTGAGGGTTAGGGTAAGGATTAGGCTTAGAGATAGGGATTTGGTTATATCTGACGCCACAAACAACACAACTAGCCGATCACGTGATCACTTCTCCTCTACCCGAGGAACTACC